ATATATATGTTATGAAAATGATGCACATAAAGATCTATTATCTCTATTCTTAGAACTCTTATTTATGATGTATTCTTTTAGAACTAAGTATTACTCTAATTATTGATTTAATTCTAAATCTAAATTCATCTGCAAACAATTATTAGGAACTTATTTAACTATGATGCATTTCCCCTAAATTGTTAGTAATCTCATTGATAGTTATGATTTTGAACAATAAAATTTTCATCCCTAGCTTTAATTTATCTCTTCAGAATTAAATAAGAATTTAGTATGATGCTTCATGACAATTGATAAATATTCTTTTCAAACTTTCCAAATCTCATCTCCACCTTGCTTGATGAATGGGTTTCCCTACTAGTGAATTTTAATCATTTTGTTTGTCAACATACAGGAACTTGATATAAAGAAAAAGTTAAGTATTTCATTTGTATTTTTCTATTTAATTTATGGATTTTATAATTATGTCAAACTTATCTGAATTTACTTGCTCAATAATGTTAAACACCATTAGTTTACATTTTGCTATAATAAAAGCTTATATATATAGACTTAAATACTTTGTAAATGATACTTTTTAGAAGGTTTTAGACATTGCAACAGGACAACTGAAAATGATTGGTTATTATTAAATTTCCTTTTTTAAACTGGATTTATTTAGTTATAAGAATTTGACTGTTAATCTCTTAAAGTATAAGTTTCTTCAAAAGAATTTTTAATAGCTAAACTTCAAAAAGAATCCTTATAAAGAAGTTAGCAACTGACATAATAAATGCTAATCTAAAATACACGTCATTCTAAGCGGACTTTAAAGTAGGGAACCCTAGGATAATTCTAGGGGTCGAAAATGAATATCAAAAGACCCAACAAAATTAATTAAATAAAAGTATTTTTCATTTTAACCCTCTTCTTGAGCTCTAATTTTTCCAAATTCCTACATTCCTTTACAAAAAATATTTAGGCAAAGATGATAATGAAAGTTGCTTAATTGTATTTTATAGTGGAACTCTAAAATTTATTGACAGCAAGAGATCCAATTGAAAAATTATAGATTCAGCTAAGCGATACAACAATTACACCAATTTTAATATATTACAAGCATTTCTTGCTACCTCGCAAATCAAAAATACACAATAGAGCACATAAATTAAGGGACTCAGTCAAGCATTATTTATATAAGTATCAACTTTATTCTTTAGGCAGTTAACGGTAAGAATATTCATAACACATGCTGAAATCGTTCGATTCTGATGAAATATAAGAGGAGTTCGGAGTTGTGCGACTAAATCAATAACCAGCAAATAAGTTTGAATATTTTATCTAAATCATTTCATTACTCATCAGCTTAGCGTATCAAGATGTTGAACACACTAAATAACCATATATTAGCAACATCAAATACAAGAGCAAATTACTCTAAATGGCTTGTTGCTAAGCGTACAATTAAATAAATTCTTAATACAACTGAGTAAACAGCTATGAAAAAATTTTGTGAACAAGGTTGTAAGATTTATATTGCCATCATCAGCAGAACTATGCAGCTGAAGTTCAATAGACAAAATTAGCATAAGAGTTTTAAGTAGCTGCAATAAAATTTAGGTAAAATTTTCTTTATACAATACTTTTCAGATGATATTGATGACGAAAACGATATTAATGATCCTCATGAAATTGGTGTTGCTGATCTGATACATATAAAATAGTAAAAAGATTTGGGTAGTTTATAGCCCAAGACAAAGGTTAGTAGACATACAATTAGGATATGGTCTAGTACACCTCCCTTTGTTTTGATAACAGCTACAGTGATGAGACTAGAAATTCAATTTAAAGTAGAACATTTTTAACAGCAGCATGAATTATATGTCGAGTTTAATACAATTCATGGCAATCAGTCACTACATGCATTAGATATGTAGCATAATACATGCATTTGAACAGTGTTATGTCAGTTGTTCAAAGTCAGAGTTGTTAGCATTATATTTTAACAAAAATGTAGTTCAAATATTATTGTATGAGCTTCATAAAATGAGGTTAAGGGATTCATCATTATAAGGTGAGTTTGTGCCAGATC